CGACATTTCCGTGGATGCTCTTGGACGCTCGGGGATCAGGTGAGGCGGGTGCGATGGTCGAGCGAGCTAAGCCTGCGGCGTGGCTAGGCGGCGGCAGCGACCGGGCGTGGAGAGCGATGCTGCTGCCCAGGGGTCAGCCGCGTGCGAAGCGGAGCCGGGAGCGGAGCGATGAGCAGTTGCCGGAGAGCTGGGATGCGAAGTTGCGCGGTTCCCGGAGAGGTCTCGGCGTCCAGGCTCGGTGCGGTACTCGTGTTGGCGTCCGGGTCTTGTTCATGGGGTCGTAAATCCCATCCTCGTCGCCAGTGAAAAGTACTCAGAACGTGGAGTGATTCAGCAAGAGTGATTCAGCAAGAGTACTTTATTAGATCAGGAACAAGACAAAGAAACCAGCTCGCAGGCCGGTTTATATGCGTTCAGAAAACCCGCCACCAAGCACACCTAAACACACCCCCTACTCCCGATAGGCTATTTACAGTAACCGGGCGACCATTGGTCTCCCGGCTGGGGAGCTGGCCCTTTGATTGGGCCGGCTAGGATCCTACGGATCCTTTGTCTTTCGACTGAAGCTACTGAGGAATATTGCCTGGCCAGCCCGGGCAAGTCCGGGCATGTCAGGCTGAATGCACTACACGTGGTAATGGCGACAGTACATTACACAGGATAAGAGTTGCAGTGTCCCCCCCCCCCCATCTAAAGAAAAAAATTGTGTCTTTGTGGCTTTGATTTTAGCCTGTTTTTTTGATCCAGTCAGCTCTACAAAGCAGTTTACAGCTAATCTGAAGCCTGAAACAGCATCATTTGAAAAGAAACAAAACAATCAGTTCACCAGTCGACACAACAGGATGCATTTTGGCCAGTAAAAAAGAATGGCAACATGCTTTCTGTGTCTTTTTGCACTGCCAGCAGCGGGGAGAGGCTGCTGTTTCCACACCCTTGCTAGAGGTGTGAGCCTCCTGGTGCAGGCCAAAGGGTGAGGATGAGGGAACTTGTCCGGGGGTGCCGGGCCAGGGCCCAGCCACTGAGTGCAAAGGACTCCTCATACTGGAGACGGAGAGCTGCACCAGTGACACACCTGGGGGGAAGTAGGAGCAATACTCTGATACAGAACAAGCTAACATCGACACATACCAACTGCAGACCTGGACTGCTGTGTGTCTTCTCTGTAGACACCAGCATGTTGCATGTGGGGTATGCAGGAGGGAGTTAGTGATTGTGGGGGCAGTCTTTACCTGGAGCAGGAGTCTGATGAATCCACTATTTCAGCACAGATGGGAGTTGCTAGATATGCAAGTGGATTTTTCAGAGATGGCACGTATTTGGCAAGGATGCTTCCCACCTATCTAAGCTCCATAGTGTCCCAAGAGTAAACGATACAAAGGCCCACATTTCCCCCTCTTCGACACTAATGTTGTGCAGTGCCAGATCAGTGAGGCATAAAGCTGCAGACCTCTCTGGGATTTTATGGGGGAAAAGAAATTGAGCTGGCTTGCATAACAGAGACATGGTTGGAAGGAAATGACATGGTATGTCTGTCCCAACTAAGAGAGTAAGAGTCCAGTAGTACCTAAGGACTAAGAGAATTTGTGGCAGTGACTCACGAAAACTTGCACCTTGCCACAAATTTTGTTTGTCTTTGAGGTGCTACTGGACTGTTGCTCTTTTCTACTGGTGGCTACTCACCTTGATCTGTTCCAACTAGTTCTGCCTGGTTAGGCAGTCCTCCAACAAACCCACATGGGTGGCCAGGAGGAGGGGTTGCCATTATCATCTGGCAGCACTTCAACTTCTACAGACTCCAAGTACACTCTGCAGCCAGCATTGACTGTGTGCTCCTTACACTGAAGACTAAGGACAGATTAGTCATTCCGCTTGTTTACCAGCCCTCTCCTTCCTCAATGGACACCCTCTCTGAGCTGGCTGCAGAGGTGTTCTTGGAGGTGGTGCTGGAGACACCTGGACGGATTGTTCTGGGTGACTTCAGCATTCGTGTCCAGAAGAGGGCAACCAGGTTAATATCAGGAGGCTGGTGGATCATCAAGCATTCTTAACTGTAAGGCTGTACTTTGGGGGTGTGACCAAGGTCAAGATCATTCATATCATAGTATGGACAATGAAGAAACCTGAGAGGAAGAAAGTTGATTAATTTGAAATGTGGTGCTGGAGGAGAATTTTACAGATACCCTGGACTGCCAAAAAGACAAATAAGGGGGTTCTAGGACAAACCAAGCCTGAACTCTCCCTAGAAACTAAAATGAGTAAACTGAGGCTATCATACTTTGGTCACATTATGAGTAGACAAGAGTCACTGGAAAAAACAATGATGTTAGGAAAAGAGGCAGACCCAGCGTGACTCAAACAAGGAAGCCCTTTGCAAGGCCTGGGCAAGGCTGAGCAAGGCAACAGGACCTTTTGAAGGTCATTAGTTCAAGAAGGTTGCCATGAGTTGGAAGCGACTTGACCGCACTGAATCCTCCATAGGTGGGTGCTGCTGTGTACCACTCCCATTCTGCAGTCACTCCGTTGGCTGTAACGATGTGGTTCAGAAAGTGGCATCGAGCGAGGGAGAGGGACTGTGGGTACGGTCTGGGCTGCCTGCTGCCACACAGGTATGCTGCTCTGACGATGTCATTTCTGCATTGTTGAATGCGTCATGTTTAAATCATTGAGGAGGGGTTGTGGGAACAAGAGTGCCCCAGCCTGCTGTGCTGGAGGCCCAATCAGGATTGGACCCTCGTGGCATTTCACAATCCCATTAGAATGGCAGCTGCATCCATATGTCGGGTCTGTGGATGCTGTCTAGCTTGGCCCTAAGCACGTTGAACTGTGCAGCAGAGGAGGGGGCCAGGATCCACCCCCCCCACTCCCAACGCCGCTGAAGCAAAGAGAGCCAGTGAGAGCTGTGCCAGTTCTTCGCTTCCTTCCCCCTCACTAGCACCTTGCAGGAAGCTGGCTCAGTCCCAAGCCCCAGGCGCTGCTCCGTCCACCTCCCAAGGACACCGGGAGGCACACGAGGAGCTTCCAAGCCCTGCCAGCCTACCGGAGGGAGGGGGGGGATGCCTACTGTTTGAGAGAGAGAAACTGCAAAAAAAGAGAAAAGCCCTGCAAGGGAGTTCTGAAGTATGCCAAGGAAGGCAGGGTGGGGGGTGGCTCTCTGTGGGTCTGTTGTGGAAAGAATGGCTCAGCTATTGTCGCACTGAGGGGGGAGCTGTAATTCAAACCCCACCACACACACACACACACACACACTCCCTGAGCTCAGCATTCCTTAATCGGGACCGATTACGTAGCCCCCTCATGTCCTGCTTTAGTGGGGTTCTCTGCTCCTCTGCTGCATTTCCAGGGATCAGAACACTGGGGGGGAGGTATTTGGGGCTCCTGAGGCACCAGAGCCTCAGCAGCAGAAGACAAAGAGCCATTGTGTGGCCGAGAGGGAGGGAGCCAGCCAGCCAGCCAGCCAGGGGAGCCGTTCCCAGCTTCCATGCATGTCCAGATCTGGTGCCGCGGTCATGCTGAAGATGAGGAAACCCATTGCAATGAACGGAAGCAGGAGCCTGAAAACAGCCCGCGGATCTTGCCTTCACAAACCTGTGGCAGCCAGGCAGGGTCTACACAGCAGGCTCCCAGGGGGCCTGTCATCGACCCAGCTGTGCGCCCCCAGTTCCGATTTGAAACTTACTTCTCAGGGCCCCGGTTCAAATTGGGACTGCGATGCTTGGGGAGAGGGAGCTTGGAACACCGCCCCCCTCCACCCTGCCACGGCCTTCTTTTCCCGAACTGGGAGGCGGAAAGTTGAGGGCACTCCTGCCTGCCTTTGCCTTCTGGGTGGCAGCTGGTGTCACGCGGTGGCCAGGGAGTGGAGAGGTCCCTGCTTCAAACGCCCTCTCTCCCACTTGAGTCACCAGGGGCCCTTCGGCAAGCCCCTCCCCGTCTTCCTGAGCTGCGGTGTGGTCTCCCTTTCAGGGCTCTTAGTAAGCACTGCAGTACAGCACTTTGAATACTGAACATGAAGCATCGTGATCGGATCTGAGCAGCAGGGCTAGCGTCACCCCTTCACTCCACGCATCCGCGTCCCTCTGAGCTGTCAGTCTGTGGCGGGCAGGGACAGGGCTTCAGGGAGGGGTGGCTCTCTCCAGCCCCTGGATGCCCAAGCTCTGCCTGGAGGCGGCCCCCCCCCCCCCCCCCCACAAAACCTGTATCTCAGTTTCGGCCTCTCTCATTTCTGCTTCCCCATCTGCCTGCTCAGTGCTGCGGGAATGGGGGGGGGCTTAGAGAGAGTGATCGGGATCCCCCCCCCCAGAAAAGCTGTTGTGGCGCTCTGGGTTGTCTCCTGCTCCCATGGCTGGCTTCTGCTCTGGGGGGCTCTGGGGGCTGGGAGAACGCTCCCCCTCGACCCTCATGAGAATGTCTGACCAGGTGGGAGGACAGAGGAGCTGCACGTGGGCACACCCCTCCGTTCCCGCAGGCAGCTTCTTTCTCTTGAATGGATCTCCATCTGGGGCAGGAAGGATGGGGAAATGAGGCCCAGGTGTGAACCGTGGCCTTGTGAGGAGCCTCCCTTCCCTTGCCCCTGGATTTTGAGGAGAGTCTTTGACTCACGGTCTAGCGTGGGAGAGTGTAGCAGGGAAAGACGGGAGGGTGGGGAGTGGCTTCTGCCAAAGAAAACTCCTGCCCTGTACTGCCTCAGGTGTTTGTGTAGGGCTCATGAATGCACGCGCGCACACACACACACACACACACACACACACACGCTTTTGACCTAAAATGGGCTGAGGAAGAGACCGCCCCCTTCCAGAACAGGCTTGGTTGAGGGGCACCACCTCCATCGGCTCACCTGGGAGCCACGGTGCGGGGGGGGGGGCGTTAATGTGGGATGAGAGGGAGAGTCATGGCGAGGGCTTTTGTTTCTGATTATCTGCACCCCCTTGTTCCTTCTGCAGGTCCTCCTGGCCACGGGCCCAGGAACTGGAGTTACGCAGGTAAGTGCCCTGGAGGAGCTGTCCTTGCCCTCTCTCTGGGCTGCTGGCCAACCGGCTTGCTGGGATTAATGATTACCTTGCTCTCCTTCACATGACCCTCCTGTCTCTGGGCCTTCTCAGCTCAGCCCCACCCTGAAAGCCTGCCTGAGTCTATGTGGATCTGACTGCCTGAAAAAGAAGTTCCCCCCACTCCACCCCTGTCCTGGGTGGGTGGGGGCACAGATGACAAGGCAGTCTCCCCCTTCTTCCCTGCCTTGGCTGTGGAAAGACTTTTCTCCACTGGGGAGTGGTGGTGGTTTGGTCTATGGCTACTATGGGGAGATTTGCAAGGTTTGATACAGTCAACAAAAAGCTAATGGTTGGGGGGTTGGGGGAACCTGCCTCCTGGTGGTGTCTGGGTAAAAGAACCTGTCCCGTGGTTGTGTTTGTCAAGGTGGCTGCTGGAGTTGTTCCCCTTCTGGGTCTCTAGACCCAAGTTGCTTTATATGCAAATAAATCTGTTAGCTTCCTTCGCAAGTGGCTGGGACCAGTTCTTGAGAGAACATGAAGGATCTCCCGTGATTCTCGTTATAATAGTTCCTGCCCAAACCCATTCTCGGTGCCTGTCGAGTAGTGCCCAGGCACAGCCCTTGGCACAATAGAAGGATGGGTAGAAATCTGTCTGAGGCATTCCTTACATTCACTTTTTTCTTCCAGACAAGGCACAGTGGGAATCAGATTTCCCCAACTGCAGGGGCCACATGCAGTCACCTATCAACATTGATACAGCCACCACCCTCTTCACCCCCCATCTCCAGCCCTTCCAACTTTCTGGTTACAATCTGCCCCCCGAAGAGAAGCTCAGCCTCCGGAACAATGGGCATACAAGTGAGTCCGCCTAGGGTGTGGGCAAAATTCTCTTTTCTGGACCCAGAGGCCCAGAACAAACATTGTATGAGTATGAGGACAGTTCTTGAAGCGGGGGGGGGGGGGGGAACACCAGGGAACGCGGTCCCTCTGGAAGGCCAACAACAGGGCATAGAGGCCAAGACCTTCCCCTAAGAAGAACTGGTCCATTCAGTCCAGCCTCCCGTCTCACAGAGGGGCCAACCAGTCCCTCTGGAGGGCCAACAACAGGGCAGAGAGGCCGAGGCCTTCCCCTGATAAGAACATCAGAAGAGCCCTGCTGGATCAGACCAGGGAGGGTCCCTCCAGTCCAGCATATCCTATTCCACACAGTGGCCAGCCAGTTCCTCTGGAGGGCCAACAGACAGGGCATAGAGGCTGAGGCCTTCCCCTGAGAAGAACATCAGAAGAGCCCTGCTGGATCAGGCCAGTGAGTGGCCATCCAGTCCAGCCTCCCGTCTCACACAGAGGCCTCAACCAGTTCCTCTGGAAGATCAAATAAACAGGGTACAGAGGCCGATCCCTCCTTTGAAGTTCCTTCTTGGCACTGGGATTCAGAGGTGGCTGCCTCTGAACATGGAGGTTCCCTATGAGAACATCAGAAGAGCCCTGCTGGGTCAGACCAGTGAAGGTCCATCTAGTCCAGCATCTCCTGTCTCATGCAGTTGCCAGCCAGTCAGAGTTGTCAGAGCAGAGGCAGCTATAGTGTAGAGTTTGGCTGCAGACAATGGATCGTTGGTGTCTTTAGGAAAGTGGCTGGGAATCTGTCTTGGATTTTTGGCTTGTGTATTTTGGGCAGAAGACAGGAAGTGCCCGGTCAAGGTTCTTGTGGCGGGTCTTTAAGGTACTACTGAGCTCTTGCTCTTTTCTACTGCTGCAGACAAACACGGCTACCCATCTTGATCTATCTGCATAGATCTGTTCCTGTATGAGTGATTCCTTCATAACACTGTTCAGTTCTTTTTGGTATTCCTGAGTGGGGTCTGCCAGGCCCTGCCTCCTCCCAGCAGGGGACTTTGGGAGGTATTTCTGGAGGGGGAGGGAACTCAGAAGTGACATCACCACATTGGGGATGCGCCTGCATCCCCAGCAGGAAATTCACCACTTGGGATTCAGTGGAGGGCCCACCCCCCTTGCCAAAAGTGCCCCTTTAAATGCTGTTGGAGAGCCAGAATCCCAAGCGGTGAATTTGCCACCTGGAGCAGCTGCCCCTCTCCCGCCCCTCCTGCCAAATGTAATGGGCCCTCCAGCCAATCAGCAGGCCACATGTTCCCACCAATCAGCTGGAGGGCCCTGTAAATCTGGCGGGAGGGGATGGAGAGGGGTGGCCACAGGTGGCTGCTGTTGGGGGCGGGGCTTCCCCCCCATCGGCCAGCTGGTCAGCAGTGGGCAGGAGCCCCTGAAATTGGGGGATCCCCCCGCCCCCACCAGGGGCCCGGCATCCCTCTAGGAGAGGCATTTGTAGAAAGTGGTGCTGGAGAATTGTCTTTCAGGTTCTTGAATGTAGTCCATGATGGACTTCTTTAATAACGATGCCTGGGTAGTTTCTGGGGCTGTGTACTGAATTTATTTCAGCATCGGTGAGGTTGTGTTGTGAGAAATGATGTTTCTTGATCATGTCAGTTTGGGCTCGGTGGCAAAAATGTTCTGCTTCGATATCTAGTGCAGCCATGGGGTGGTAGTGGCTTCCATGTAGAGTACTTTTTCCCCGTCGCTTTGGGTGAGCAGCCACTGGTGGCCAATGTGTTGTCTGATGGTGGGTGGGAGAGATCAGCAGTAGCTTGTGAGTGGGACCCTGAGCTGGCTTTCTTCTCCCGGCTGAGGTTCATTTGCCTTCATCCAGTTCCTTCCAGGTGAGGCCCACATGAGGCTGACGTGGCTCCGGATCTGTGAACTGGAATAAGCCCCATTACAGTGTGGGGAATCCGTTGATTCAGACTGCGTTCGCTTACTGCGTTTCATCTCTGTTTTGCATCCCCCCCCCCATGTGTGTCTGAAATCCTTCCTTGCTCCCTCTTTCCCATGCAAGTAGTTATATGCGACGTTGTAAGAATATAAGAACACAAGAAGAACAGACCAGTGGTTCATCCAAGCCAGTACCCACGTACCCAATTTGTGAAGACACTCCCCTCCTTCCTCTGTTTCCCAAACAGCCCTTTTCTATTTAACAGCCCCCGTGTCGCCCCCAGATTGCTCAGGCGCAAAAGAAATGGGTTCTTCTGCGTCTGCCATCTCTCAGCTGACACCCAGGCTGCATGCTTAGCTAGGAGAGGGTAGGGCCTGTGCATGGGAAAGAGAGGCAGGATCTAACTTGTCAGATTCTGGCCCAGGCTGGTGGCAACCACCTACTGACCATGGGTGGGCTATAGTCTCAGGGGTAGACGGCGGCCAAAGGGCTGCAGAGGGGCGGGGGGTGCAGGGTCATCCTTCTGGCCTGAACCACTGCCACCGCGTGCCAGGGACCATTCTCTGGCTGGTGGCATTTGCCTCCCAGCAGGTATTCTTCCTGCCCCAATGAGCATCCCGTAGGGCTGCCCTGCTCCCCCTCTTGGACTTCTGTGCAGGTGTGCACAGTGGTTTCCTTTTCCCACACAATGCCACACCCCTCCGCCGCCATGCTGCACTCTCTCGGACAGGGCGTGTCCTTCAGTGACTACAGTCCAGCCACAGGGGTCATCCCAGCCATATCTTTCGAGAGAGAAGAGAGTTAATCTGAGCCTATCCTGGATTATCTTGTCATTTCTCTTAATAAACATGTTGCTTGTTTTAGGAAGTGGAGAAGAAAGAGACCAAGCTAAGAACAACTCCCAGGGCCATGCAGTTGGGATGCCGGCACTGATCAGTGTTCCCTCTAAGCTGAGTTAGTGTGAGCTAGCTCAACAGTTTTTTAGCCTCCGGCCCAGACATTTTTGTCTCCGCTCCAGAAGGAGGGCTCCAGAGCAAACTGATTTATGCACTAGCCAAATCGCTCGCTCACAACTTTAATGCCCAGGAGCTCACAAAGTGGAGTTTTTGCTCACAGGGCTCCACAGCTTAGAGGGAGGCATTGGCCCTGATCCTAGCTGACCTAAACCTCCAGTGGTTGAAACCCACTTTCTCTTGAGCGGGCAAGAGGAATGAGTTTGTTTTGGCTGACTGCCCAAACTGAGCCAAACTGTCAGGGGGTGCCCCCTTGGGAGGACTGTCCCGGTGAATCTTCCATGCTGCTCTCCAGGGAGGGGGCAAACTAGGCTTGACTGAGAGCCACACACCCACTGCCTGCTCAGGCCCAGATGACTTGACACCTCACTGCCCTCCAGATGGCGAACTGCCCAGAACCATTTGCCCAGAAACAGCAACCAGCGGGAGCACAGAGGGCATTTTCATGGGCAGGGGAGCTTCAGTCAGTCTCTCAAGCTATTGGCAGAAACACGTGTTTGTTTGTGGTCCCAACAGACACCAGCCCCCCGGGGGGGGGGGGGGGAGGGGGGAGGTTGCTCTGCCAATGTGTCCCCTGCCTCCCCACTCCCACCCTACAGCAGGGCCTGTGCAACCTGTATTGCTGTGGCTTTCAGAGGGGATTCCAGGATTATTGGACTTGGAGATTTGGGGGTAAATGCTGGACATTTTGGGTGGTCAGTGTTGCCAATCTGGCAATGTATAAGCAGGTCTTTAATTCAAATTGCAAGCTTGGCTTTCTGTTGCCTTTTAAGGCATTATCTTCAGCAGCGATTTCATGTCAGACGTGAGTCTCTCCAGCCGCTGGCCAGTTGCATCCATCGCACAAAGGCAGAGCTGTCACAGCAGATGTAACTAGTCAGTCACCAATGATGCTTGTTTTTCTGGGTTTCCCGTCCTCCCAGCAGGGGGGTCACAGTTGCAAAATGAAGGACATCAGAACTTCACATATTACAAAGCTTTTTCTCAGAGTCTTCATAGGGAATAGTCCAGGTGACCTTGCCCATGCCCTTTTTATCTACGGCTTCTGGAGTCCCTTGGATGGAATAAGAGCCAGACTGTAGACACGGAAAGGCAACCATAGAATCCTAGAATGTTAGAGTTGGAAGGGACCTTGGAGGTCATCTAGTCCAACCCCAGGCACTCTGCAGGAGCATAGCCTAGCCGAGCATGTTGCTTTGGTCATTCCAGTCCTTCATCAGCCAGCAGTCTGGGTTGCTGTGTCTTATAAGGGGCAAATTCTTATAAGTTCCGTAGCTGGACTGTATCTTACAAGTGGCAATCATAATGGGTTATGAGTTACGGAGAAATCAATACCCAAAGGTATAGTCTGAAGACACCTGCTGTGGCCACTTCAGAAATGTTCAGCAGTTTTGTGCCAGATCCACGTCTGGATGAGTGATCTCATCATCATCGTAACCATAAGCCCCATAAAATGTCATGAAAACTGCTAGAAATATTCATGGATTTGATTTAATTTGATTTGGGTTGAAATTAGATCAAAAGAATGTTCAGCTGAACATGAGGAAGGACTTGCTGGCAGTGTCAGAGCGGT